TGCGTTCTGTGCACAGACCACAGAACCACAGAAATTCTGTTTCAATTATTCCACAGATTCTGCGGAAAAAGAAGTCCGCAGATTCTGTGGAAACATGCACAGAATCTGTGGAAACATCCACAGATTCTGCAAAACATCCAAAAACATGCAAAAACCACAGAATTCTATTTCAATTATTTTTCTGTGCACAGAAAAAAATCCACAGATCTGTGGCTTTTTTAGTCGATTCTGTGCATTTCTGTTTCAATTATTTCTGTGGTCTGCGGAAAATACACAGAATTCTTTAAAAAATCCACCCTAAAATTTTTTCTGCGAACTTTCTGTGGAAAAACTTTAACAATTTTTTTCTAGGCCTAGGCTTAACCAAATTTCAAAATTTTTAAAGATTATTAAAGTTTGAATCATTCTCTATTTTTTGATATAAAAATTATAATTTTATTACCTAAAATTATTGCTTAAAATTAATTTTGAAAAAGGTACATCTTTTTTACGCAGTTTTTGTTATATTCAAGCAATAAAAAAATAAAAAACGTGAGAGATTCTGAAATTTAGAGCTATGATGTTCTAATCATCATGGATATCTCTAATGAGGGGATGTTTACCAGGATCTATAGAATATATCTGTATAGCGTATACTGGGATATCTCCCATGATCTCTCATTGATATCCGTCATAATCTCTCCTCCTATTTAATGATAGATTTCCTCCTTAATCACTCCAATATATTAAACCTCAAAATCAATGGATATCCCACTTAATCACTCCTCTACGATTTTAAAGTTCCGATTTGACTATAATTTTGGATTCCAGGCATTTTCGATTTCCAGGAACCTCAATTTCTGACTAAACAATCCCCAAACATTTCCCTCCCTTGCAACAACTTCTATCGTAGTTTGAAAAAGCCACATGTCGGATCGACATCTCCTGATTTTTCCGATCCGAACCCTGCTTTAGGACATTAATTTAATTGGAGATTTAAGGATATTGGATGAACAAGAAAATTAAGCGGTATATCAGCGGTTTTAAAGTGATATCAAAGAGATTTAAAGGGATGTTATGTGATTTGGAGGGAAAATTTTTAAATCTTTACAATATTTTTCAGTTTAATTTAAGAATTTTTAAAGTTTTACTTCAAAAAATCAGGTACCATTAATACTGCGGTAGTACCGAACTGTCCAAACCATTTTTCGTTTCAATAAAACTGTTATTTTCAAAAACGCGGAAATAAAAAATTTGAATTTAGAAGAAAAAATACACAGAACCACAGAAAAATAATTGAAATACAAATTCTGTGGATCAGTGGAAAAAATCCACAGATTTTTATATTTTCCACAGAAATTTTCATCCACAGAATCTGCGGAATGTTTCCACAGAATCATTGGATGTTTCCGCAGAATCTGCGGGCACCACAGATTCTGTGCACACAGAATTTAATTGAAACAGAATTTCCACAGAATCTGTGTTCTGTGCACAGAATGCAGAATCTGTGGACAATTGAAATAGGCCCCAGAGCAAGGTAGATAGGAATAGGGTTATGTTACAAGCCCAGACCCAGCGCCTCGCCGACGCCCCATAGGTTTATGTTGCTAGTTTTTTGTGTTGTAACTTTGTCTAAACTTGTTTAATCCCGGTGATTTTGGTGTCATTCGACTCAGCTTGTCGAGCTCTTTCAAATGAGCTATAATATGGTTAAAAAATTTTTAATTCCAAAAATCACCCTTTTGGATTAACAGTTTCAGAAGTCTATATCTCGGTCCAATCAAGTCGGATTTCGTTGATTTTGGTGTCAATCGACTCAGCTCGCCGAGACGAATCGAATGGTATATATTTTGACCCGTTTCTGAGTGGGCCACCGGCTAAAGTATATCCAATTTTCCATTAGAGATAAAAACCTATAAAATCCTTTTACGATTTAATTTAAAAATATTTATCAAAAATAATTTTAGTACGCCAATCCCAGCACACTTCCGGGTTCGGCGGAGACTGCGGTGTAGATGGAGTTTGTGTTTGCAAAAAGTCTTACTGCAACAGCGTACTTGTTAATGAGGAAAGTTCGTGTTTTTGAAAGAAAAATATTCGTATGTACTCCATAAAATAAAATTAAAAGGGTTTGGTATCTTTATACACGTTTTGTAAGTTAATTAAATTTTATCTTAATAAAATTTGCATGACGTTAAATTTTAATTTTATTTATTAATTTTTTACTAAATTAAATAAATAAATTAATCCGTTCCATCCCTGAAAGGAAAATCTATACAATAAAAAAAATAAGTTTTCTGGCACAGATTTCTTAACCACATAATTCCGTGCGTACATAAAAAGCGTCTTGCGTTTTACAGCAAAAAATAGTATTTAAAAGGAGGCGAAACAAAATAGTGTCCCTTCATTCTCAAATCCTATTATTATGTAAGCACATTATAAAACGATCAAGAAGAAACGATCAAAAAAGAAGCGAACCAGAACGCGGTTCATTAATACCTGAGGATTGGGTCGGGTAATTTAGACGTATTAAAAAGGGAAAACCCTCTCATCTATGGCTTATACCTATAAGCTTTCCCTAAAGGTCGATAAGTATTATTTTTAAATTTTTAACAAAAAAATTCTTTGTTTAACGGAAGTCTTTTATTTTTTAACATCTTCTGTACAAATAATATACACAAAAATTTCCAAAAAAGGTTTAAAAAAGACACAAAGCTTTAGAAAAAAGGATATTTTAATGAGTCATTTAATTACTCATTTAATTGTTTTTTTATTTGTTTAAATATTTTTGGGATATTTTAAAATTACAAAAAAATTAAATTTGGATTTAATTTCCTCCCAAATATTTATTTTTATTTTTAAAATTTAAAAAAAAATTAAAAAAAATTTTTTTTTAATTTTAAATGTCCAAAATGTCCAAATTAATTATTTTTCTAATTTTAATAATTTATTTAATTAAAATTAAAGCCAAAATTTTAAAAAATAAAAATAATTTAATTGATATTAGCCAAGAATATTCAATTAATAAACCTGTTGAATGCTCATTTTATTCGAAAAAATATTATTGTTATAATGGGGGAAAATGTAGAAAAATTATTTATAATGATGAATTATCTCCTATGATTTGCATGTAAGTTTTAATTTTAAGACTCTAAAGTTTAAGTTTTGCTTCAAGTTTATTTAAGTTTATTATAGGTTTATTTTAAGTTTTAAGTTTGAGCTTATTTATTCCAAGTTTATTTTTTTATTCAAGTTTATTTTATTTTAAGTTTATTTACTTTATGTTTATTTTTATTTGTTTCAAGTTTATTTTACATTTTAAAGTTTATGTTGTCTATTTTTAAGTTTATTTATTTCAAGTTGATTTCTCCCAAGTTTATTTACTTTAAGTTTAATCTTGCTTCAAGTTTATTTAAGTTTTTATAGGTTTATTTTAAGTTTATTTATTTCAAGTTTATTTAAATAATTATAACTTTCACAATTTTACAACCAAGTTTTTTTTAAAGCATTTTGTAAAACATGTTTTACAACTCCTTTAATAATAAAAACATTTAAAGTTGCCCAACAAATTTTCACGGGTCTCGTTGTCAATATCTGTTTAACCCAAATGTTTATTTTGTTGATTCTTCCACGACAACAACAAATTATTTGTTGAACAAAAACTTGAAAACATTTTTATTTGTTGGTGTTTTTACAACAACTATGACATTTACAATTGTAATTGTTTATAAAAGGAGGGAAATAATTTTAACAAATAATAAAACTTGTTCAACTCCTTTACTTGTTTTGTAAATAAACTTGGAAAGTTTGTTTTCAAGACTGTGCGCCAAAAACACCATAACGTTAAGCAAAGCGCCGCATCACAGTTGTGATTTATTTAAATTTTAAATTAAACTTTGTTTTGATGTTTTTGTATTTTTTGTGTTTTATTTATTTTTATTTCTTATTGTTTTAATTAAATTTTACAACATATTTATTTTTATATTACAAATAAATTATTTTATTAATCAAAAAATATATAAAATTACATAAATAAAATAAAATTGAAATAATCACAACTAAATTAAAGTTGGACCTTATTTAAACATACTCTAGCCCTAAATCCCTTATAATAAACCCATTGTAACACGGGGTATATTTGAGTAGTGTGATTCTAAAGTAGGTATTTGATTAAAAAAAATTTATTTAACCGATGGTTTAAAAAGAAATAAAATTGCAAAATGATCAAATTTCATCGAAATAGTTTAGAGCAAATAACAACTTTTATAAACAAAAAGTTGTTTATAAACATAAATTTGTGTTCTCATTTAATTAAAGTATATTTGCCTATCAATTCCGCTATTTTTTAGATAATCACAAAATTTTCTATTATTTTTTGAAAGAGATAAATCACAAAATTAATAGTAACATTAATAAGTGTCAATATTTTTTTTAAAACGCTTAGCTCGGGATTTTCTCGGGTTTTTGATATATCGTTGAAGGGGTACGATATTTTTTATTTGGTCGGTCGATATTTTCGGTATTTAAATTTGGCTGTAGTTTAGTATACCGGAATTTTAGTTCCGATACAGGACCCATACCATTCGATTCGTCTCATTTGTCAGCGAGCTGAGTCGAACGGTACCACTCTTTTTTGCCGGAGATGCCTGTATACCGAAATATATGACCCCGAAAATCGAAAAACCATAGGGGGAGTCGCTATTACGAATGAGCTATTATTCGAAAAATCGAATTTTTCAACCCAAAATTGTGCTTACTCCCCCTATGGTTTTTCGATTTTCGGGGTCCTATATCACGGTCCACAGGCATCTCTGGCAAAAAAGAGTGGTACCTTTCGACGCAGCTCGCTGGGGCGAATCGAATGGTATGGGTCTTGTATGGAACTAAAACTCCGGTATACAAAACTAAATCCTTAAATTTTTCCGATTGATATTTTTCGATAAATATCGAAAAATATAGAATATCGATAAGTATCGTATCGAGCCGGGCTCTAATACTTAGACATAAAAATGAAAAATAAAATGATAATTTTGATTTTCTTCCTCTTAATAATTTCCTTCTTTATTAATATTATTTTCTCTTCAATTTTCTTCTTTTCTTCAATAAATTTAATTTTTTCTAATCCAACAACATTTTTTGTTCCATCTTTTAAACAAAATTTTGATTGTGTTGATTTAATTTGCGAGACTAATGATTTGGGGAAGTTGGATATTTTTGATGATGAGTTGAAATTAATAGACATTAGTAATGGAAAAGTGTTGGAAAAATGTAGTAAATGCAGTGATTGTACAAATAGTGGATATAGGTACTTAAATAATTCAAACATGGGCATTTTGAAATTTGGACATTTTGAAATAATTTAAAAATTTCAAAAATTATTCTAGTTAACATTTTTAAACCTGGGAATTCTTAAATTAAATTTTTGAAACTTTAAATTATATTGTTACAGTACTTGTATGCTCCATATTGACGTTCGGAAAATTAGAGAAAATGTAACTTGTAATTGTCTACATAATGGCCCTTTAATACGAAATAACGGTGCAAGAAGCGTTCCAAGCACTGAAGGGAGTATTGGAAATACACAAAAATGCAAAATTTTGGATGGACGAAATGGTGGTATTAGATATAGTGAAATATTTGAACCTAAATTGGAGCGGAATAAGGCTTTCTACAGGCTTTGTTATTCTTCTTGTAATATTTTATTAATTATGATACAGTCTGATTTGATTATTAGATACAATGAGAGGTGTCATAAATAAGGGGGGGGGTGCGAATCTCCCATACTCGGGTATATCTTAAATTAAGGTATCCACTTCCGGGAGATCTTATACTATCAAAACTCATTTATAAATAACTTTTTAATAGATATTCCACAATTTAAGATATGTTATTGAGTGTGAGAGATGCTTAGGCGATACCCACCCTTATTTAAAATAAGATAAATCTCTCTCAAGTCCAAGAGTTTATCTTATAGTGATGCACGCTAATAATTTTTTGAAATAAAAAATTTTAATATAGCACTCCGTAAATTGCCCGTTCCAAAAGCAACAAATGAAGTAGAAGAAGGTTCACCAATTCCGGCAGTTTTGGTAACTATAGAAAGATTTTGGAACGACAAATATTGGCAAAAATTAAAACCTTATGATTTACATTTATTTTATGTTTTTCCTGTTACTCAAAAGGATTTTTGTGAAAAAGGAGATATTATTATACCTAATACAGAAGATTTAATTTGGATGAATCAGGGGAAGGTAGTTTACGTTTGATGGTTTTTGAACTCAGTTATTCTAAAATGTTAGAATATTGTGATTATTGCTGTTCGAGATGGCCTCGAATCAAGAAATTTCTCGGGTTTTTGAGTGTCTCGATGCTTAGTCTCGGAAAACGAAAAAAATTTACACCTCTAATGACGTGAATTTTTAAGTAAATGCGAGGTTATTCGTACAAATCCCTTGATTGATTTGAGGGTACCAAGAGTGTACACAAGAGTGTACACTCTTGGTACCATAGTAGGTGTATGAGTGAGTGTGAGAGTGAATAATTAGGAAATTAATAAATAATAACATTGGCATGAGTGTCAAATTAGGAGGAAGTAATTAGGAAAATTGTGTCTTAGGGTTGTACCTACGAGTGAGTTCTGTATTGAATAAAAATAAAGGCCGCAACATCTGGTACGCCTATGCTTTGCAAATCTCATTTAAAAATACAAATGGAAGATGATCCAGAAGATTTGGTATTTGAAGAGGGAATGACTGACACTCCAAATGCTAATTATGTGAGGGAATTTGTATTATAAATTAATTCTAAAAAATAAATATTTAGTACCATGATAGTAACCTAGAAGTACAATTTGAAAGAGATGTTTTTGCTGGAGCGGAGAGGGCGAGGTTTTACTACGAGGTTACTGTAGTACGCGAAAATCAACTCAAGACGGGCGCTGGTAATTATTTTTTTACCATTTTGAAATTTCTGTCTCTAGTTGACATTTTGAAATTTTTGGCTTTATTGACATTTTGAAATTCTCTAATACAGTACTTAATTCTTTTAGGAAAACCAAAGTTTGAACAACGTCGAACCCTAGTTAAATCAGATGTATTAAATTATGAACTTCATCCAGAAATTCATGGAACTGGGATGGAGAATTACAAAGGAAACTCAACTAACCCCTCATGAATTCTTTTACATCTTAACCATTTTTAGCCGTCCTTTATTCAACTTTAAAAAATTTTTTTATTACAAATAAATTATTTTATTAATCAGAAAAATATATTAAATTATAAATAAAGTAAAATAAAATGCAAATAATAATAATTAAAACTAAAATTAAATACAAGGAAGAATAATAAAAATATATTTTAATTAAAAGGCATAAAAAATTTAAAAATAGAGATTTTTGGAAAATTTTCTTTGAAATTTTTTTTAATTTTCAAAAAAATACACTTTAATCCCTCCTTGATTTATAACCCTCTGAAGCGCTGAAAATACCCCACACAAAGGAGAGTGCCTGAGGTGTCCGTGGGACTTCGGGATGAAATTTGGTAGACAGTTAGATTATACCCTACTTTGTTTGGAATTTGAACCATTTTTGCTTAATGGTACCGGGGACCGAGTTATAGACCCCCAAAATTTTCCTGTGTCCGAAGTCCCACGGAAACCTCAGGCACTCTCCTTTGTCAATGCCAAGTTGAGGGGACGTTGGATCGGAAAGTGATGTTGAAAGGGGATGCTATAACAGATAGTTTATTAAAGATAATACTCGAAGAGTCGAGAAACGGGTTAGATATTCAAAATTCACTTGCTATTAAATTAGCAATAAAATCTCTATTTTTTAAACATAATAATAATTTTGCGGTTTAATTTTTTTTCTTTTTTTAAAAGAAATTATTTTTTATTAATTTAATTAATTAATATCATCTAATTATGGGTAAACAAATAAATAATAAAAATATTAATGGGTATCAATGCTGTATTTTGGGCTTCTGTTGGCTCCGGGGTTTTCAAAATCTTAGCTCAGGAGCCGGGCTCCTAAGCTAGCTCCCGAGGCCATACACAGCACTAATGGGTATAATTATGGGTATAATTGGTAAAAATATTTTTCAAAAAAATTCTGTCAATATGTAAAAAGCCATTTTGGTTAGTTGACCATTTTGAGATTTTGGCAAAATGTATGTTTTTGGTTAGAAGTGCAGTAAAGCCAAAATTTGGTGTTTTTAAGACTAGAAGAAGGGGAAGAAGAGATCTCTCAAAAAAATTCTTCAAAAATTTGAAGAAGTATCAGAAGAACAACTCGTAGTCGAATAACATTCAGAAGTAACAGAATCCCTTCTATTTTGACTTTCAAAACAATTTTCCTCGTCATCTCCACTTTCCATTCCAGAATCGTTATTTGTTGTTTCTTCTTCGCTTTGGTGTTGTTTATATTCTTCATTTTCGTCTTCATCATCTTCCCATCTCATTTCATCCTTCCACCAATTTTCAGCTTCTGTCCCAGCCATTCTTTGTTTGAATAACTTAAAATAGAACTTAATTTAGAAAAAATTTTTGAGAAGTTTATAAGGGTTAGGAGGTTTATAAATGCCTCAGAATATGTCGGACTTCATTATAAGATACCCATCAATTCCCCTCAATACTGGACACACCTCATATAGGATACTTTTTTTAAATTTAGTTGGACATTAAAAGAGGGAGAAGCTGTGTAGTCTTATGTACAAGGTAATACTCCTCTAGAAATACCCTCTATTTAAGGTACCCCTCAATATAAGATACATCACGATGCGTTTTTATAAAGCTGGTTGGTCAATAGAAGGGATAGAGCTATCTAAGTGTCACCCTCTATTTAGGGTCCCCTCATTATAAGAGACATCTCAAAGTTGCTTGGTCATTAGAAGGGAAAGAGCTGTCTAAGTGCCACCCTCTTTTTAGGATACCCCTCATTATAAGAGACATCTCAGTTGGTTGGTCATTAGAAGGGAAAAAGCTATCTTAGTGCCACCCTTCTATTTAGGATACCCCTTATTATTAGAGACAATTTGTCTCGATCTCAAGGGGTTTATAATGAGGCTAGATTTTATTTTAAATTTATTCACCTCATCAATTAAATCGCTCTGTTCTCTACTCAAATAATTCTTCCAGTCGCGGGCACATCCCTTCCTAATAAATGACTCATTGTGCAAAGCATTCCCCGGAAACCATCTAGTCTGATTTTGCTGCATAGACTCCAATTGACTTTCTTTAATAATTTTTTCCAAAATTTGACTATTTTCAATTAAGTTTGCTGAATTTTCCCCCAAAAATTTGGCAATTAAAATTATCGCTCCTTTCAAATCCTTCAACATATCCTCATATTTTAAAAACAATAAATTTTTGTTGTTAAGTTTTTGTGGAAGCCAGCTCTTTAAATGTTCAAAATAATCTCCAAAAGCCAATTTTCCTTCAATAAAAAGTTGGAAAAATTGGTCGAAATTGCCGTCTGCCCAATCATAAATTTTAAAATTTTTGTTGTGATGGTAGTATGAAACTAAACAATCTTTTGGGTTTCTACAAGCAAAAATATATTTTGACAGGTTGTTTTGGGGGCAATTGTGGTGAGAAAAGTGTGTTTTTAACAGGCGTGGATGTTGCAATTTGTTACAGTAATCGGCGCCGACTCTTTCAATCATTGGGGAGGTTGTGCACAGCTCTGCAACTGGCAAAAATTAATTTTTAATAGGCTCAAAAAAATTTTTTTTAAGTGTCAAAGTGGTAAAAAACTTAAAAATAATGTGGGAAGCTTAATTTAATATTTTAAAAATATTTTTACCACGAAAGGAATCGAACCTTCAACCCCTTGAGTAAGTCCACCACGTGAACCCAGCACTTTACCACTTAACCAAAAAATTTAAAAAAGGTGTGAATTAGTGCCTGATATTCTCAAGGGACTTAGGGAGATTAAAATTCAAAAAAATTTTTCTACCAAAAGGAATTGAACCTTAAGCCTTAAGAAAATGTGACCCAGCCGAACCAACACTTAACCACTTAACTAAATATCCCAAAATATTAACAATTTATTTATGTACCTTTTCCTTGATGTGGCCCGTACTCGGAACAAAAAAGTAGTTGGGAACAAATGTGCTGAATCCAGGTAGTTCCACATTTTGGGTAAGTACAAACAAACACGTCGCTAGGGAGAGGCTTCATAGTCTTTGCAGATCTTTAGAGAAAAATTTTTTTTTAAATTTTCATCAAAAATTTTTTGTCTCGCACTGAACTCCCCGCACCGACAGAAAAAAAATTTTTTTGCAAAAAAATTTAGCAAAAAATAAAATTTAGGTATTTTTTCTAGGTAATTATCACACTTTTTTTTATGTTTTAAACCTTTTTTGTATTAATAGACAATATAATCTCTCCTCTCCTTTCCCGTCATCTTTCCATTTTTAGAATTATTACCCAATTTTCTGCTTGGCTTTAAAAATATAATAATGGTTGAAGGGAGAAATAATTATTTTATTAAACAATACCATATTGGCCGTACTAATCCCCCTTCCCATCTCCGAATAAAAAGATAAAAAAATAGAATAAAAGATTTAACTAGTTGCTTTTTGTAGAGGGGAAAAAAGACTTTTTTTATTACTAAATTAGGTAAAAGTTGCTAAATTAAAGGCTTTCTCCCCGTATTTTGATGACTATAAAAATTTTGCAGAGAATAATTATATTATTAATCCGTGTAGATTATTTAGAAATATTATATAATCCGTGATAAAATTAGCTCGGAAATTGGCCGTTTTTTGTGTTTACGTATTCACGGGTTATTTGAGTATGAGGCTTCGTAAGGCCTTCTCACTTGGAGTCTCGGATTTATTTTATCAAGCTTTTGATACCGTTTGATAGAGCAGAAAATTAGCTAAATAATAGACATAAAGTTTAAAATTCTGTTTCTAAAGAAAAAAAGTTGTAGTCAGAAAACTAAGCTTTGTTTTAATTAAAGTAAGGGGGTTAGTGCAGTTCGCCCCCCATAACATTCTTGGCCTGCCTTCAAAAATTTTTATTTTTATACATTTTATAGCCTATTTAATCCTCTATCGTTTGACATCAAATTTATTACGAAAAATTTTTTTGTTGGCAAGTTACGGATTTTCAAATCCCCGTGGTTCATGACTACAGCTTATACCTTTAAATAGCTTTTTATTTTTTTTAAATTTTTTCTGTTGCCATTAGATTAAAATTATTATGTTTTTCCACTTTATAGATTCATTTTTTAATTTGTTTTTGTATTTAAAAATGAGGGATGGCACGGCACTAAAAATAAAATTTAAAAAATAAATTCTTTCTCACTAATATTTTTTGTACCATTTTTATTTTTGTTTTTCTTTTAAAATTAAACTACACAAAAAAAATTTTTATAAACAAATTTCGAGAATGCTTTTAATATAGGGATTAGTAAAGTAATACTTTTTTTATTTTAGTGTTCGTGTCATGCAAAAAATTATTAATAATAATAATTTTTGTGGGGGTGGTGGAGAAAGGTGCTAAGCATGAAAAACAAAAATAATTTTTTTTTGTTTTTATTTTTAGGAAAAATTTTTGTTTTTATTAAAAAAATTTTTTGCATTTTTTGTTTACTAAAAAATTTTTACAAAAATAGAAAATTAATTTTTTTAATTAAAAAAATTTTTTTAAGTCGAGGCAGTTCAGTGCGGACACGCAAAAAATTTCAAAAAAATTTTTTTACCTAACAGCCTCAACCTCAAATACAGGGGGCCAAATTTCGCCATCTATAATAGCCTGTTTTGGATGTCCTTCTGGCTGATAAATAATTTTTTTAGTTGTTTTTTCGTGAAGAGTTAAGTTGCCTAAAGGCAGGTGGACTTGTTCGACGTTTAGAAGGTGAAGGAGATTGTTGTTGTTATTGTTTGTATTTTTTGGTGGCATTTTTAGAATATTTTTGGAGAATTTTTTAGGAAAATATTTTTAGGGAACAATACTTAAAAAATTAAATAAAATTAATTTTTTAAAAATTTTTTGTAAAAATGAGGGGTAAAAATGGGGGGTAATTGTGTATGTGAGGGACACAGCCTAGTTTTTATTTTATATCTTTTGAACAAAAAATATTTTTAAAAATATTTTTGCACTATTAAATAGAGAATTAAATTTGCTATAAAATAGGATAAATTAAAAAATTTTAGAAATTATTTTAGAAAAAAATGAGGAAAGAAAACTAAGTGTGATTGGGGAAAATGCTTGTTGAAAATGCTTGTTTTCTAACCCACAGACTTTTCTCCCCTCAAAATCCTTCTCTGGGAAAATGCCCTTCACAGGCAAAACAAGGTGTCCTTCACAGGCAAAACAAGGTGTCCATTAAAATTAATTCTTTTTTTTTAAATTAAAAAATAAGCAGAACAAATGACTGACACTTTTCGAGGTATTAATATCCAAAAAATTTATTTTTTGGAAATAGGGAAGGAAAATAGTGGTCGTGTTTTGGCGTCAGGCAAGTATGTAACAAGCAGAAACAACCACAACAACAACAACCACCTAAAAAAGTGGTTGGTTTATTGGCGTGGAAAAATTTTTTAAGAAATTAAATAAAAATATTTTTGGATTGTTCAGATAGGATGAGAAGACATTTTTGAAAAATAAGGAAAAAAATTTTATTTTTCAAAAATTATCGAAAAAATTTTTGAAAAATTTTCGAAAATTTTTAAAAAAATTTTTAAAAATTTCAGAAATATTTTTTTGAAAATTTTTTGAAAAATATTTTCAGAAATTTTAAGCAAAAATTGAAAAATTTTTAAAAATTTTTCAGAAAATTTTTTAAAAATATTTTCAGAAATTTTAAACAATTTTCCGATATTAAAAATAATTTTTAAAAAAATTCTATTCAATTTTTACGCTTTTAGAAGCATGCGCAAACTGGCTAATTCTTTTAATAATTCTCAGCTTTTATAGCCTCCAAATTGGATATATATTTTTATAACAATTATTTAAGAGTAAAGGGAGGCGGGGCTTATTAAAAAGAGGTAAAAAAATATTTTTCAAATAAATAAAATAAATTTTTTATTTGTCACTATGTCCTCAAAAAGGGGCGGAGCCTAAATTCCATTCTCTCACTTTCTCTCCCCTTCTTCTACCCCCAAATCCTCTTCTAGCGGATTAATAAAAGTAGTAAAAGATGTAAAAATTTTAAAAATATTTTTTTAATTTTTTAATAAATTTTATGGAGGTAAGAAAAATTTGTTTGGGAAGGAGGAAGAGGATAGAAATAGGTGGGGGTGGGGATATTTTGTTTAATAATTTTTTTAATTCTTCTAAAAAATATTTTTTTTCTATTTAATTTAATAATCTTAACCTTTATTTTTAAAAATAAGAAAAAAAAAATTTTATTTAAAATATTTTTAAAATATAAGAGGATATTTGATTGATAGAGGGGATAGAAAGAGTAAATAACTCATGACATCATTTTAATAATCCGGAATAACTTGAAATCTATTTATTTCCGGAAATGTTTTAAATGACGTAAAAATATTTATGAATAACCGTAAATTTATTAATTTTCTTCCGGAAATTTAATTTTGAGTTGTTTAAATAAAAATTCCAAAGTATATTTAATTAATTTCTGAATAATAATTCCTGAATAGCCGGTAACTATTTAATTCCGGAAATAGTTTAATTTATTCTGGGGTAACCGGAATGTATTTAATTAAGTGCAAAATAACCGGAAATAGTTTATTTCCGGAAAAAATATACTAGTTAATTCCAGAATAACCGGAAAAAGTTTAATCAATCCGGAAAAAAAGGAAAAAAAAATCCGGATTAATCAATCCGGAAAAAAACCGGAAAATGTTTAATTAACATTAAAATAAATGGAAATCAGGCCCGTAACCAGGGGGGGTGGGGGGGGGGGGGGGAATTCCCCCCCCCCCCCGAAATGGGAAAAAGGAAAAAATTTGGGGAAGGTCTGGGGCAAAAAAAGTGAATTTTTTTGGCCTACGGCCTTCTAAAATTCTCAAAATTTTCGCCTGCGGCGCTGAAAATAAAAATTTTTGTCGCCTTCGGCGCCAAAAATTTGGCGCAAAAAAATTTCCCCCCCTCGAAAAAAAATCCTGGCTACGGGCCTGATGGAAATATTTTATTTATTCCGGAAATTGTTTAATTAATTATTAAAACCTAAACAAAAATTAAATATTTTTCAATTTTAAAAATTTATATTTATTTATTCGAATTTAAAATAAAATAATAAATTATAAAATTAATTTTTCTTTGTAGAAAAATATTTAATAATCTTTTCTTTTATTTTTTTCTATTAAAATATCCGTTCTTTAGAAATTAAATATTTTTTGTGCTAAAAGGTTTTTGTTTGAAGAACGGGGTTTTATTGTTTTATTATTGTAAAAATATTCTGATAAATTAATTTTTTTTATTTTTTGTATTTCCGTAAACATTATTAAAAGTACAATAATTTAATTGATATCATTTTTAAAATAAAAAAAGGAAATGGAGAAACAAAAAAATTACCGTTAATTTATTAAAAACAAAAAATTTTGTTGTACTTGGAGGTTTAAAAAAAAATTTTTTTTAATTTATTTAAAAATAAAATAAGGCTGCAACAAAGTTCTCTGGATTAAAATGATGTGTGGAAAGGAAAGGATATAATGCCAATATATAACGCTAACCGGAAATAAATATTAAAAGGAAAGGAGTTATTAAAGTGTTTTGAAGGTTGACATTAATTGAGTCTAAGCTTAATAACAGCTTGGGGTAAAAATTTTTTTAAAAATTTTTGGGATTTTATAGAAGAGACTTTTGCCTATTAAGTAAAAATAAAATCAAAATTTTAGAGAAGACGAGAAAAAAGTTGAGGCAAAAAATAAATTAATATAATGGAATAAAATGTCCACTTTTTTTAGAAATTTAGACAACATCATTTTTATTAATTATTCTAAAATTTTGTTTTCAATTTTATTTTGTAGTAAATTCAATTCTCTATCGAATAAATTTTAAATTGTCAAAAAATATTCATCCAACCTCGAGTTATGATTTTTTAGACTCCCCAATACGCCTTTACTCATTTAAGCTTAATACACGGAATTTATCGACAACATTTTTATTAATTATCCTAAAATTTTGTTTTTAATTTTATTTTGTAAGAAATTCAATTCTCTATCCAATAAATTTTAAATTTTCAAAAAATATTCATCCAACCTATAGTTATGATTTTTTTAGACTCACTGATACGCCTTTCCTCGTATAAGCTTAATACGCGGAGGAGGGAATTAAATAAAATTAAATTACTAACTTTTGTGTTTATTATCCTTTAAAAATTTTAAAAAATTGAAAAAAAAAATATTTTTTAAATTTTTTAATTGAAGATTATGTCTGGATAAATAAATTTAATGAAGGGTGGCACGTGCCAAAAATTTAAGTATTTTTTAAAAACATTTCTTAAAACTTGACGTTTTTTGGAATTAAAAAAAAATTATTTTTATTGAAGATAAATTTTTATTAATGGATTTTTAATAAATTTATAAGTGTTTTGGATGATTTTTTTATTTTTTTAATTAAAAATATTTTTTGTTGGAAATTAAATTTTTGAAAGTATTCACGGGAATCGATATTTTGACCGGAACCGCATCCGGAACAAACCGAATCCGGAAAATTGGACCGGAACCGGATCCAATTTGAGTTCCGGGTCCTGGAACCGAACTTTTCTTAGTTACGGCCCGGAACGGAACCGCATCTTTAAAAAACCACTTACCAAATACCTTTCACTGAATTATTTTCTAATATAATTTATTTATTTATTTATCAGCAAACCACAGGTATTTTAAAATACATTAATGTGGTGCAAAAAAAAACATAAAAATAAATTAATGTCAAAAAAAAAATATATATATGTATGAAACAACATCAAAAAAAAAAAATTATATGTATTAAAAAATGAAAAGTAAACATAGATAAATTTAATATTATACCTTAAAAAAAACCACCAATAACGCTCAAGGTTAATTTTACTAGAATTTTATTTAGATTCTGATACTTTAATGAAACTTCTAAATTTTTTGGGATCATTTATTTTAAATGATTCATTTGGAAGTTTATTCCATTTATTTACCACTCTATGAAAAAAAATTATTTTTTGTTCTATTTGTGTGTTTTTTAATCCTTAAAAGTAGGGGCCTGCGAAGTGATCTATTTGAAAAATTAAAATATTTTTGGGAATTAAGAGATGTAAACCCTTTTATAATTTTAAAAGCGGTGGAAAGATCGGCAATTTTCCTTCTATCTATTAACTTTTCGAGTTTACAGGTATTTAATCTTTCTTCATATGGGACCTTGATTAATCCACATTTTTTGTAAATATTTTTAGTGAATAATTTTTGAATTCTTTCAATTTTCTCTATTTGATATTTCATGTGTGGATTCCATACTTCAGTTGCATATTCTAGCTGGGGTCTTATATAAGTTTTATATATATTAACAAGGAGATTTAAATCTCTAGATTTAATGATTCTTGTTATCTGATAACTTTTTAGATATGCATTTTTTATAATCATATTTATATGATTATTAAAAGACATTTTAGAATCTATTAAAATTCCAAGATCGCGAATACAATCTGTTTCTTGTATTTTTAATCCATGAATGTTATACTCTCTTTTTAGGTTATTTTTTCCTAGATATAAGGCAAAGCACTTATGACGAGATATTTCTAAACCATTTAATTCTGTCCATTTTTCAAGTATCCATAGAGCCTTATTAAGTTCATTCCTTTCTATGCCATTTTTATGAGCTACATATAGTTTTACGTCGTCTGCATATAATTTTATTCCAATGTTTTCAGGGATTTGATTTGGAAGATCATTTATAAAAATAAGAAATAGAAGAGGTCCTAGGACACTACCTTGAGGTACACCTGAGAATGTTTCATATTCGCAAGATATTTGGGCACCAATCTTAATCTTGAAATTTCTATCAGATAGAAAATTTTTAAGAAATGTATAGACTTTTCCGCTAATGCCTGCTTTTACTATCTTATCTAGAAGAATATTTGTCGGTACAGTGTCAAATGCCTTAGCAAAGTCGATGTAAATGATATCTATGTTATATCCATCTTGTATTGCGTTATAGAGATCATCCATTGTGGATAATAACTGTGTTGTTGTGGATCTTGATTTAAGAAACCCAAACTGATTTTGATTAAAGAACTTTTTATCTTCTAGGTATTTTATTAATTGTTTTGCGATAATTCTTTCTAAAATCCTACATAGGGTGCATGTTAACGATATTGGACGATAATTAGTTGGATCTGATTTTTCCCCTTTTTTATACAAAGGTATAATAAGTGAAGATTTCCAAATTGATGGAATTTGCCCATTATCAATAATACATCGGAATATATCTGTGATTATTTCTGCAAGTGAATCAGCGCAATATTTAAGTAATATATAAGGTATATTGTCTGGAGAAGTAGAATTCTTGCTAGGAAGTGATCTGAGGATATCCCACACAATACTAGTACTTAAATCTATGTCTGTAAACTTTGATTT